TCAAGAAACCAGTCTTCCACCTGACCAGACTGTGTTACCTCTTCATATGCAACCAACATGATCTCTTCTTCGTCTTCTGTTTCTTCTCCAAATGTTGCATAATGAGCTTGCTTCAGTACTCCAGGACACTCATACTGATAATGGCCAAGCTTGTGACATTGAAAGCACTCAACAAGTGCTTTGTTGAAAGGCTATCGTCCACAACCTTTTCCTCGTCCATGACTTCTTCTACCACTACCACGACTTGCCTTGAAACGATCATCATGTGTCACCTTTAGTACCTGTTTTTCTAATTGGGCATGTTGCATCCTTTGTTCATGCACAAGTGGGCTGCCATGGAGTTCATCAAGACTCATGGTACTCAAGTCATTAGTCTCTTCGATAGCACACACTACATAGTTGAATTTTGCGGTTAGAGATCTGAGAATCTTACTAACCACTGTGTTGAAGTTCATAGATTCACCATTGGATTTCATTTTATTGACGATACTAAGTGTACGCCCTATATAACTGTCAACCTGCTAACCATCCTTCATGGTCAGGAGTTCAAACTCACGTCGAAATGCTTGAAGTTGAGCACGTTCACTCTTGTTGAAGCTTGATATTTCTGTTGCATGGATCTCCATATTGCCTGTGATACGTCTTTATCCATCATTGTCTCAAGTATTTCTCGATCGATAGCTTGGAACAAAAAGTTCTTTACCTTCAGATCTTTAAGTCTTGCTTCTACTTCAGTCTTCTGGCCTTAGTTGGTGTGGGACCAAATGTTGGTATGTCACCTTCCACAAACTGCCAGAGCTCCTTACTTCGTAGGAAATTTTCCATAGTCATGGATAAAAAATCATAATGTCCATCAAATCTTGGGATGGCAGGTTGAACAAATTTTTTTGGGGTAGACATGATTGTATACTCACGATTTGCACTCAAGGATGTTTAACTCACACTGTACCAGGCCCTTTGCGGAGCTCTGATATCAATTGTTGTAAACTTAATAGATGTGTAAAAAACTGTTTATTCAGATGCACAGACGTTTGACTTTTATAGCCTACAGACTCAAAACATAATACTGGACTTACACGTTGTATGGCAGCATTATAGGCGAAATCAAGGAATAACATACTGATCTAGTACATCCTATAAAATAGGAATCGTTATTGATATGTAAAACATAAAATATCTATCAGTAAGTAATTAATGTTTATATGTTTATACACATATTATATTTACAACCTATTTTGTAATATGTGTATTTGAATATTTGTGTTGCAAGATCACTTAATGGAGAAAAACACACAAGGTTATTAATTCCACAAGGGTGTGAGGACATATTGATGGTTGCGAGTGATTGTATAAACATATAGGGTATATTTGTGTTGTTAGATAAGGTTTGTGCATCCAATAGTAATTTGGTTCTTCATCTTGACACATTAGTAAATCAAAACTTAGTGAGATTAATGTTTTAAAAAAGGAAGTTAAAAAGGAGACATACTCTTGAATTGAGAGAAAAGTTGATGTTTGACATGTGAGTAGAGTTAACATCCATCGACGTGTCCATTTAGCCTTCTATTATCCTTCCACCTCCATTTGTTTCCCTTATTTGTGTCAATAGAGAAGTTGTGTTATTCTTGATAAATTAGTATTGATGATCCATAGATTGCAAGCTATATGTTAATGATCTTCTAACCTTAGGTAAGAATGATTCTAATTATACTTTTCATTTTTTATTTGGTTAATTCTAATTAAATTTATATGATTTATATACTTGGATTCAACCATCTATCACCAGACGATTAAGGATGATATGATATAAATGATATTTGTACATATTTTAAACCTATTACTTGAATCTGGATCCCCTAAGAAATTTAATATTATATATTTTTTTAATTTCTTAACTGTATTATTTTTCAAAACGTAGGAAATAAAACTAGTAAAGAATAAGTTCATTTGCCAAACACATGTCAAAATTTTAAAATCTTTCATAAATATGCAAATTTTCCTATTAATTAATTAATTAATTTCAAACTCAATTGTTACTAATTTATTGGACTTATAAATTTTTCTTTTTCATATTTTCTTTGCGTAATTATTATTAAAAATTTATTGGACTTATAAGTTTATAATTTAAAATACACCAACAATATTTTTCATTTTATATATGATAATTTAGATTAATCAAAATACATATCTGAGTAATATTCAACATATATATATAAAATTGTAGAATTGATAAATCGTCTGGTTCTATTACGGTTCCAAAATTGACATAAATTTTTTTCAAATAACCTATTTACAAAAAGTCTCGTATATGCTATTGATTTCTTCTAATAAAGATTTTTTTTTTTTTTTTGTGATAAATTCCCAACTTGTGTTAGAGTAGTGAGGAAGCTATCTACATCGGGAGTGACACAGCTCATTCGAGAATCACTACTCTGTTTATCCAGAAAGCAAACACATTTTGGGTATGAAACGCAACTCCTTTCAGATGTCACAGACATTGGAAGGAATAATTTATTATTAGAGTAAATGCCTAAACCCACTTGTAATAACATTCCAACCTTTGACGTATGGGGCGGCCAAGGAGGTCCTAATAATTCAGCTTTGGTCGGTCTGAAAATGATTGTTTCTTTTGTTGTTCAGCTTTTTGGTTTAATGTATAGGCATGCAAATGATCACAAAATGACAATAATTTGCACCCAAAATAATGATCTCATATTGTTGGCAAGAGAAACAAATCACCTTTTCCCATTTGTGGTCTCAATGAAGCAGTTCTCTCTCTATGCTGGATAGCAGACAAACCAATTCCTTAAAGTTTTTTGTTGGAAATACTTATCCAATCCAGCTTATAGAATACACCTCATCCGTGGGACACCAGATTGCTATGGCAACGGTTACCCAACTCCACCGTCCAGACCACCCTTTACACAATAATCAGATCATACAGCTAAAGGAATCTTAAAACCATGTTTAAGAAAACCTTTTTATAAGATTTTTTAGAAGAAAATATATATAAAAAAATTAAATATATATTTTTTATAATTAAAACTAATTTACATTCAAATTAAAAAAAATTGAAATAATAGTATGAGATAGTTTTTACTTATACATATAAGTTTAGCTTTTGAAAAAAAACTTTTTTTTTCTCTCAAATAAATCGGACAAAAAAACATGAGTTCCTTTATTATTTGTTTTCCTTTATCAGTATTTAAACCAAGAACAACAATTAATCTTTAACCATGGACAAAGGGATTTAATTTCAAATATAGGAAAATAAAACTGTTAGGAAATAATAGCCCCTGGTATGACAAAATATTAATTCGAAAATAAAATATTAATTGAGAAAACATAACACCTTTACTTTTGAATATTACGCAAGTTTAGAATAAACCATTATTGCTAAAAATATACAGTGGTGTGATGTTAGTTTCTGAAACTATTTTTCTTAACTCCCTAAATAGAATTCACCAATTACATTTGTACAAAATTTAAGAAAATATGCAATAATATTAGCATGTTTAAACTCTAAATTACAATCAATGATTAATTATCAAAGTTTAAATGATACAAAAAAAGCAACAAAACTTAGTAATTTTTTTTAGTAGTATAATAACTATAAATCGTATTACAAGATAATCTTCCACCATTATTAAAAATAGTCAAGAACCGTTGGCATCATGGTTTTAATAGCGAAAATTGCAGCATGCCTTTCAGTTCAAATCCTGGATGACAATTCATAGTTGAGACGCCACTGACGTGATAAATTCTAAGCAAATTTTTCATATCACGTGCTACCGTAGCGCTGAAATCATGTTATGAGGATCAGTGGCTATGACTATTTTGAATGAATCATTTCAGAAGAATAAAAAAAAAAGAAAAATTCTCACAAACTAAAACTAGTTATATACATAAATTAATTGAAAGAAGTTTTTTCTATATAATTTTGAAAACTCTTTCATGCATTAAATTTTTGTATAAATCCTTTTATGAAAATTAGTCCAAACATCTATATAATCTTTAGCATATTTTAAATCAATCAATATGGAGTCTTTACCATATTTCAGATCAATCCGTTATATATATTATGACTTTGAGATATGGAGTCTTAAAAAAATGTTCATGTTTGAACAGATTTCTCCATAAATAAAAGTTTGTAAGAAAGCAAAAATATAAAATTAACTTTTTTAGCTAAAATTAATTTATAAAGTTGAATAATAAAAAATTGACAAAATCTGAAGAAATTATATAAGAAAAAACTTTTGCAAAATAGCTCATATATAAATTAATTTCAACTTTTTCAATTATTTTTCCCTCAAAAAAGCCAAATAGAGAAACTCATCCAATCATATTTATGAAAGTACTTACACTTCTAGTTTAAGAATATACCAATGAAGATCCATACTCCAAAAACTACTGTCCAGATTACCTTGATCAAAGACTAAATACATAAAAATAGCATACACTTGTCAATGCAAATAAACTTTTATTCAAATTAAGGAACGATTGTCTCTAAAATTTACCCAGTAGCAGATTGAAAAGTCTGGCAGACCAATCAATTACATTCATAGTAGGATCTTTAACTCCACAAAAGCCAACTTCGCTAAGCAATAATCATGCTTTCGCTGTGTGACTAGAACTGTTAGAATACTATAGCACCGAAAAACATTTGAAATAGATTAGTTGTTCACATAAAGTTGAATATTATAAGATTGGCATATGACTGATCTATCAGTAGGACCATTTCACTTGTTGACTGCCACTGATATCTATTAGCATATTACAAGTGGTACTTTCATTTTTATGAATTTAGTAATATTGCTACCCAAGTATATTATTACACGAATGCACACCCATATATAAGAGTCAGTTTTGATCAGAATTGACGAAGCTCTGGCAGAGCATACAGAATTGAGCTAGAAATCTACGCTTTAGACAGTTCGTGATCAGTTCATCCATATTCTATATGCAATTTCACCTTCTACTGAGTTTTTCAGACGTTCAACATGGAAGCTGAAACTAATTCTCCAGATGATGCATCTGCTGTGGTATGTCTTTCTATACAAGTTTTTAATGACTGAATTCTTGCAGACTTATCGTGTTTTTATATGTATTTAACTCAAGCATAAACTTAGATTAGTTACCTCTGTCCAAAATTATGCCTTTTTCTGCTTTGATGCTCCTGGTAAACTTGGTTATGCTGTAATATTTCCTTTGCCCTTTGGTTGTGAAGTATTTTAACTGAACAGAGTTGAAACTAGTAAAGAAGAAATGAAATGATATTCGATAGCAATAAGAAACTTTGCTCCCATACAATGAAATCCAAAGCAATGTTCCTCAGAGAAGAGAGATTCTGTCTTCCTAACCACAAGGGTCGAAACAGACCCTCCCTTGTTTCCGATATCTGAGCATTTTCTATTTAGACTTACTTAGTTTTTAAAGTTTTAAATTTGAGGAATTAAAAAGAATAGATTTATTTCAAGTTCCAGAGACTGCCAAGAAAGTAACTGCCACCCATGCTTAAAGCCCACAATAAGTATCCAAGCACTCCGGAAACCCACCCTCAAAAGCTAGCAATTAAGGGGTGAAACAAAGAACTTAAAATTACTCTACAGCTCATACTACTTAAAACCTTCATTCTCTTTCAAACATAATATGCCCATGCTCATGCATCCATGCAGACAACCTATCATTTATTTTGATTTTTTGTAATACAAATTTGATTCTGATGCCACATGCAAACAGGCAATTGATCAAACTCAATTCATGGGTAAAGACACTGCAGTTATTGAACATGCTGACCACCAATCAGAAGCACCAAGCATGGAGAATGTGATTACAAAGCATTCCAACTCAGATGAAAAGTTGCCAACGGAAAGCAGTATAAAATCAAAGTATGATAAGGAATCAGCAGAAAAGATTCCTGAATCATACTCTGTTGATAATTCAGAGATAAAAGATGATGGAAAAATCATGCGAGAGAAAGCTTTAGATATTGACGAAGCCACTGAAGTGGAATTACAAATATCCGAAACAAAAAGTAATTATGTTCTGAAAATTTACATCCTGCTCTTTTGTTTTACATTCTATCAACTGATAGTAGATCAAAACGTTAACATAGCCAACATTGTGTCAATCATTGCATTAAATATCTATTTTGGATAATCATATAGGTGTGCCTGAATATGGGACCCTGAAAACTTTATCAACTACAGCGTATGTTGGTGCTGAAGAGTTAGAGAACAAGGATGATGGGAAATTCACACAAGAGAAAGCAAAAGAGACGGAGGAAGCAACCGAAATGCAGCCATTAAAAAGTGCAACAGATAGTATGTGGTCAAAGTTTACCAACATTTGGTACTTTAGTCAAATAAATATTGACCCTAGAAAATAAAATAAAAGAAACATTATGGTCCCAAGTAAAAGCTGATTACTTTTTCAAATCACCCTAAACAATCCATTTTTCACTCAGAGAATGCATCCAGCGTTTATGTCATTAAAAGGAATAACTTGCATGAAAGGGAATAAAAAAATTTCATTAAAAGGAAACAATCTATGCTATTATGTATAAATTGTTAACATAACTTTGATCTTATTAGTAGTATAAAATGCCATTAGAAATTAAAATTTTTCCAGACATGATACTAAAGAGCTACCTTAGCTAACTTCGCACGAGTGATATTGTTAATGTTAGGTCCACGTGAGGATAAAGAACAGTCTACAGTGTCCACTTCTGAAATTGTCAAAGGTCACACTGACGAAGTCTCACAGCAACAAACACATAAAAATGATGAAACATCAGTGATAGACACTGAGAAGAGCAGAGCAGAAAAACATAAACCTGAGGGTGATGGGAAAGAAGATAATGGAGCAAAAGCAACTGAAGAAGCAGTAAAAACAATGTTACTAAACATTGCAACAAAAAGTATGTGCTCAAACTTCACGAATTTTTATTACATTTTATTCAGTTTAATTTTTACCCAATAAACATTAGGCTTCCATTTCAAAATTTCATTATTTCTTCAAATATCCTCAAGAACACATTTTTTGCAGAGAAACGGCATTTGGCATGTACAGTTTTGAAAGGAAAGCAATTACTTAAACTAAGAGGGAATACTATATGGTGGGGGTTGCATTGCACTATAAGTTACTAACTTACTAGAATAACTTTGTCCTTGATAGTGGAGTGGTGGGGCAGGACAGCCGAAATTTTAAATTTTCTTGAAAAAATAAATGTCTGTTAGAATCACACTTTAGCTATTGAAACATCTCACATGCATAATGACAGGTCTACTAGAGGAAGAAGTTCAGCCAAGGTTGCCCGTACCTTCAATTGTCCAACATGACACTGATCAAATCATAAAGCAACAACCACTTAATAAAGATGTACCAGAAGTGATTGATAATGCCAAGAGCAGCATGGAAGAAAAGGAACTTGATATAATATCCAGAGTTATAGAGGTTAGGCCATAGTGAAGTAGGCAAGTAAAAATTTAGAAATATATCAGCTTGTTATGAACAAAAAAAAATTATTTTCTTAACTTGTTTTACAAGTTTCAGACTTCAAAGATATTCAACCAGGAATCTGTACAACATGAAACCAAGGATAACGTCAGCATAGTAAAAGAACAAGCAGACCAACAATCAGAAGAAATAAGCATGCGAAGTGTCATTAAAAATTATATAATAGAAAGCAGCACAAATCTAATTGATGATGTACCCGAATCACACTTGATAAAGACTTTAGAAAAGAAAGCAGAGGAAGCTACAGATGACAAAGAATCGACTATTGTGGAGATACCAAAATCAGAAATTGAAGGTATTTCAATTATGTTTTGAAATTTTATAATTGAATAGCTTGAAAACCAAAACTAAAAAGAAAACACAATGCTATTCATACTAGAAAAAGAAAAATAAACACATGAATTCAGATGGAGAAAAATTCTTTATTCCACAAAATAAAATATATAAAAAAGTAGCTTCTTTAGGACACAAACAGTTTATTCACTCCCACATGTGAATCATAACATACATGGTAATTTTGTGGCCCCATAAAACAACTTCTTGTCACACTCAGACCTATTCAATTGTTAAGAGAACATAAGGAAGTATTAAAATAGTAACAGACCCACCGGTAAATGATTGCTTTCCATATAACATTTCTTTAACAATAGGTGAGTCTGAAGATAAAGCCCTGCAGACATTACCCAGTGCAGAATTGGTTGGAAACGAAGCAGTTGATGTGAGTTGTGAAGAAGATGTAAAACCAGAAGCAGATCTTACAGTGACACATACAGAGCAAACACTACAACATGAATTCGATACAAAGAACGAAATTCCTGAGGTTTGAACCGAACAAACTAAACAACAAAAAAATAAGCAAATAATACATTTCATTTTCTCAGTTGTACAACTAAATTATGTGTAACATACAAAATATTATTTTTTATCATAGGATAAAAAATCTTAAAGCTCTGACAGTATTTCTTGAAACCGGCATATGGCTTGTAGGAAGTGGAATGCCAGCTCAGTGCAGAAAATGAACAAAAATCAGAACCCCAGATTGCAGCTAAGAACAATGAGATGGCATGCATAAAGCATCCTTATTTGGATGGAGAGACTGCAGAAATAAACCCCAGTAATGATACTGTAGAAGAGGTTACAGTGCCTCACACCAAGGAGAAACAAGCAATTGAGGATACTGAGAAGTTCAATCAAGAGGAAGTTCAAGGGACTGAAAAAGAAGTAACAATACAGTTACCAAACACTACAACAGAAAGTACGTGCTAAAATTTCACGAATTTTTCCAACTTTTATTTAATTTCATTTTGACCAGAGAAATTATAGGCTTCTATTTCAACAGTTTATTGTTTCTTCTACACAAACCAAACGTTGTTTTGCTACCACAATAAACTCTCCCTTAGTAGTAAAACTCTGAGGCAGTACAGTAGACATTTTAAATTTTCTGGAAAAGTTGTCTGTCAGAATTACAAAACATTTACATCTATAACGACAGGTCAACCAGAGGAAGAAATCCAGATAAAACTACCAACCCCTTCCTTTGTCCAAGGTGATATTGATCAAATTTCACAGCAACATAAACAGCACAATGATGAATCAGAAGCAATGGATAATGCTATGAGTTGCATATCAGAAATTGAACTTGCCGGCAAGTCCACTACTGTTGAGGTTAGGCTAAGTAAACAAGTAAAAAGTTACATATAGATCAGCTTGCTGAAAACAAAAAATAAAATCATTTATTTTCCTAACATGTTATACCAATTGTAGACTTATATAGTTATATTGAATATACTCAACCAGAAACGAAAAGGGATAGAAGAAGCAATAGAAATGCAGTTACCAGAGGAAGCAGTCCAGATAAGATCGCCAACTCCTACCTTTGCCGAAAGTGATACTGATCAAATTCTGCAGCAAGAAACATTGCACGTTAATAAATCAGAAGTTATTGATAATGTGAACCAGATATGCATACCAGAAATTGAACTTGAAAGAAGGTCCACTGTTGTTCATGTGAGTCAGTAGTACATAAAATAACTAAAAGTTTTTCATATATTAGCTTGCTGTGAACAAAAGAAAGTCCATTTATTTTCTTAAATTGTTATACAAAATTTATACTTATAAGTTATATATATATATATCCAACCAGGAAATTGAAAAACTTGAAACCAATGACAATGTCAGCAAATCAAAAGAGATTTTAGACAATAAGGATGCATATGATATCAGAGGAGACGGAGGAACAAATGCCAAACAACTGGCTGATGTGGAGATACCAAAATCAGAAACTGAAGGTAATTTAACTTAAGAAATTGTATAATAGAAAACCTAAGCAAAACCAAGAAACACACATAATCCCTATATTAATGCCAGGAAAATTAAAATAAATACATGAATTTCGATGTGAGAAAAATTGGATAATGCAAATAAAAATTAAAAAATTAACGTCTTTAAATGACAGTTTTATTCACTGCAATATGTGGATGATGATAACATAGACATAGTAATTCTATGGCCCAATAAAGCAACTTGTTGTGGAGACAACTTTAATTTGCAAAAATAATATAAATGAATTAAAATAGTAGCAAACACAGCCTTTTTGCAAATGATTCCTTTCAAAATCTAGGTGTGCCAACAGATGAAGCTCTCCAACCAACACCCAGTGCAGTATCAGTCGAAAATGAAGCAAATAATGATAATAGTCAAGAAGAGAAACAATCAGAAGCAGAATTTACAGAGAAATTTAACAAAGAGATGCAGAAACCACAATATTTTATTGGAGAGACTGCACAAAATGACACCACCAATGATACTGAGGATAAAGAAGACGTTCGACCATCCCACCCTGAGGAGATACTAGCGATCGAGGATGATGACAAATTGGAACCAGAAGCAAAAGGGATTGAAGAAGTAACAAAAATGCAGTTACCAGACGAACAACTCCAGACAAAATCACACACTTCTTACTTTGGCCAAGTTGATAACGATCAAGTTCCACACCAAGAAACGTCATATGTTAATGAATCAGAAGTGATTGATAAAGCCAAGAAAAACTGCATGCCAGTAATTGAACTTTTCAAGCAGGTTAGGCAGTAGCTAAGATGAAGAGTAAACATTTACATACACATCATCCTGCTTTGAATAAACAAAAATCATTTATATTCCTAACCTGTTATACAAAATTTATATTAATATTTATATATTCTGCCAGGAAACTGAAAAACCTGAAACCAAGGACAATGTGGGCATAGTGACAGAGAATTTAGACAACAAGAATGAATGTGATATCAGATCACAGGAAGGAACAGATGTCAAACTATTGGCTGATGCAGAGATACCAAAGTCAGAAACTGAAGGTAATTAAGTTTTGAAATTTTAAAATCAAATTCAACTTAGAAACCAAAACCAAGAAACCAACACAGTGTATATTCATGTCAAAAAAATAAAAATAAATACATGACTTTAGATGAAAGAAAACTTATCTAATTCACATGAAAACTTAAAGTGAGAATCATTAGATGACACAAAATTTCCGCACCACTATATATGGATGATAACGTTTTTTTATAAACTAGGTCAGCAAAAGCATCACTGTATAGAGAGCACCCCAAACAATGTTGACACCCTAGTTTATACTCCTTGGAAATGGAGAAGTGTCTAATTCAATCTTATAAAACCGATTTATAAAATGAAGTTTGCACCACAATTACATGTTATAATTTAGTCATATCTCTAATTGATGTGAATGTCCAACAATACGTATCATTTGCAGCATACCTAAGGATGCATTAAAAAAAGGAAAAACTATTTCTTCCTTCTCCAAGTCACCAATTTTCCACCATACAATATTCTGAGGTGGAATAAATCATTTTCAGTTTATACAAAGTCTCCTCCCTTTTTTCTCAATATTGTATTACTTCAATCATGATTGATTTCAATAACTCATTTTAATAACAGGTGCATTAAAAGATGAAGTTCTACAGCCAATAGCCACCGAAGTATCAGTCACAACCGAAGCAGTTGATGAAAATAGTCAAGAGATACAGCTGGAAGCAGATGTTACAGTGAAATCTAACAAAGAAGTGCAAATATCAGAATATGTAACTGACCAAACTGTAGAAATAAACGCCACTAAATATACTGACGAACAAGTGGTTGAGATTGATAGAAAACTCAGTCAAGAGGAAGCAACAGAAATGCAATTACAGGAGGAAGAAGCCCAGACAAGATTAGACACTCCTGCCTTTGTCCAACATGTTACTAATCAAATTTTGGAGCAAGAAATACGGAACGTTGATGAATCAGAAGTGCTTGATAATGCCGAGCAAAGATGCATACCAGAAAATGAACTTGATGGAAAATCCATTGTTGTTCAGGTTAGACTATAGTGAACTAAACAAGTTATATACATAAATATATACATGTCAGCTTGCTGGGAATAAAAAAATCATTTATTTTTTAACCTTTTATACAAATGTTATACTTATATAATATTGGATATATTCAACCAGGAAACTGAAAAACCTGAAACCAAGGACAAAGTTGGCATAGTAACAGAGAATTTAGATAACAAGGATGCAAATGATATCACATCAGAGAAAGAAACAGATGACAAACAACTGACCACAAAGACAGAAACCAAAGGTAATTGCATACTGAAATTTTAGAATAAAATTCGACTCAAACACCAAAACCATGAAACAAAAAACAAAGTCTATATTCATGCCGAGAATATAAAAAGAAATATAATACTTTGGATGAAAGAAAAATAATTTAATCTAGATAAAAACTAGAAAATCAGCATTTTTAAATGAGAGAAAAAGTTTTACACACTACTATATATGAATGATAACATACACATAGTAATTCTTTGGACCAATATGGGAGCTTTTTATGACACTGAGTAAATAATTACTTTGAGTAACTCATTTTATAACAGGTATAAAAAAAGGTGAACCTATACAACCAATATCCAGAGCAGTATCGGTTGGAACAAAAGCACAAGATGATGAGAATAGGCAAGAAGAGATACAGCCAGAAGCAGATGTCTCAGTGAAATCGAACAAAGAGGTGCAAAGACCAGAATATATTACTGATTCAACTGCAGAAATAAATGCCACAAACTACACTGCCGAACAAGAAGAGATTCCAAAATCTCAAGTTCTAGAGAAAGAAGGGATTGAGGATGATGGAAAATTCAGTCAAGAGGAAGAAGCAAAAGGGATTGAAGAAGCAACACCAAAACAATTACAGGAGGAAGAAGTCCAGACAAGATCATCCACTCCTGCCTTTGGCCAAGGTGATACTAATCAAATTCCACAACAAGAAACATTGCAGGTTAATGAATCAGAAGTGATTGATAATGCCAAGCAGAGCTTCATTCCGGAAATTAAACTTGAAGAAAACTCCAGTGTTGTTCAGGTTAGGCTGCAATGAAGTAAACAAGTAAAAATTTACATATATCTCAACTTTCCGTGAATATGAAGAGTCAAATACTTTTGTAACCTGTTATACAAATTTTATACTTACAATGTATATATTCCATCAGAAAACTGAAAAACCTGAAACCAAGGACAATGTCAGCATAGTGGCAGAGAATTTAGACAAGAAGGATACAATTGATATCGAATCAAAGGAAGGAACAGATACCAAACAATTGACTGATATGAAGATACCAAAGTCAGAAACGGAAGGTAATTAAGTTTTGAGATTTTACAATCAAATTCAACTTCAAAACAAAATCCAAAAAAAAAAAATCCAACCACATATGTATGCCAAAAAAACAAAAATTAAAACAACTTTAGATGGAAGAAAAACTACTTACTCCACATAAAAGCTAAATACTAGAGTCCTTAGATGACACAGTTTTGCTCACTATTACATGTGGATGATAACAAATACGGATTAATTCTTCAGGTCAATATGGGAGCATTTTGTGACACTGACTATTGTAATTTTAAGACAGCATATACATGAATTAAAAAAAAGTAAGAAATGCATACTTTGTGTAAATAATTGCTTTCAAAAACTCATTTTTGCTATAACAGGTGTGCCAAAAGATGAATCTTTAAAACCAAAAGCCAGAGTAGTAATAGGCAGAACCGAAGCACGTGATGAGTGTAGTCAAGAAGAGATACAGACAAAAGCAGATGTTACAGTGAAGTGTAACACAGAGGTGCAAACACCAGAATATGTTAATGTAGAAACACTAGAAATAAACACCAATAATTATACTGAGGAACAAGAAGTTCCGACATCTCATGCCAAAGAGAAAGAAGGGACTCAAGATAATGCTAAGTGCAGCCAAGAGGAAGAAGCAAAAGGGATGGAAGAACCAACAAAAACATTGTTACAGGAGGAAGAATTCCAGGCAAGAACACTCACTCCTGCCTCTGTACAACGAGATACTAATCAAATTCCAGAGCAAGAAACATTGTACATTGACAAATCAGAATTGATTGATAATCCCATGCAGGGCTGCATACCAAAAATGGCACAAGACACAAAATCTACTGATGTTCAGGTTAGGCATTCATAAAATAAACAAGTAAAATTTACATATATATGAGCATGCTAAGAACAAACAAAATTATTTCATTTTCCTGCCCTGTTAAACAACTTTTCTACTTATATTGTATATATTCAACCAGGAAACTGACAAACCAGAACCCAAGGACAATGTCAGCATAGTGACAGAGAAACTAGACAAAGAGGATGCAAGCTACATCAGATCAGAGGAAGGAACAGATGCCAAACAATTGACTGACGTGGAGATACCAAAGTCAGAAATTGAAGGTAATACGTTTTAAAATTTTAAAATTGAATTTGGCTTGAAAACATAAACCAAGAACTAAGCACTATTTGTATATTCATGTGAAGAAAAAAAATAAACATGACTATAAATGAAAAAAATCATTTGATCCACAGAAAAATTAAAAAAATAGCATCTCTAGATGACATAAAAGTTTTACTCACCACTTTATGCGGATGATAAGATATACATAGAAATTCTTTGGGAGTTTTTTCTGGCACTGTGACTTCTAATTTTCAAGAGAGCATATACATGTGTTAAAATAGCAATATATGCAGCCTTTACCTAAATGATTGATTCCAATGACTCATTTTTACAACAACAACAGGTGCATCAAAAGATGAAGCTCAACAACCAATAGCCAACACAGTATCAGTGGGAAGCAAAGTAGTTGATGAGACTAGTCAAGAAGAGATACAGTCAGAAGCAGATATTATAGTAAAATCTAATAAAGAGGGGCAAAGGCCAGAATATGCTACTAAGGGAACTTTAGAAATAAACACCACTAGTTATTCTAAGGAACAGGAAGAGCTTCCAATATCTCATGTCAGTCTGAAAGAAGGAATCGAAGATGACGGAAAATTTAGTCAAGAGGAAGAATCAAAAGGGATTGAAGAAGATCCAAAAGCTCAGGAGGAAGAACTCCAGACAAGATCAACCACTCTTGCCTTTGTCCAAGGTGATACTAATCAAATTCCTCAGCAAGAAACACAGCACATTGATGAATCAGAAGTTTTTGATAATGCCAAGCTAAGTTGCATACCAGCAATTGAACTTGACAGAAAGACCACTGTTGTACAGGTTAGGCATTGGTGAAGTAAAGATTTTACATGTATATCAGCTTCCTGACAGCAAACAAAATATCACTTATTTTCATAACTTGTTTTACAAATCTCATACTCATATTGCATGTATTCAACCAGGAAACTGAAAATCCTGAAACCAAGGATAATGTCAGCATAGTAGCAGAGAATTTAGACGATAAGGATGAAACTGAAATCAGGGCAGAGGAAGGAACATATACCAAACAATCGACTGATGTGGAGATACCGAAATCCGAAAGAGAAGGTAATTAAGTTTTGAGATTTCAGAATCAAATATGACTGAAAAACCTAAACCAAGAAAAAGCACTATTAGCATAATAATGCTAGTAAAATAAATAAAAGACACATGACTATAGGTGAGAGAAAAATTATTTAATCCACATATAAATTAAAATATTAGGCTATTTGAACAACACAAACGATATTACTCACTACTATATGTGTATGATGACATATACATGGCGATTATTTTGGCCAATAAGGGATCAATTTGTGACACTGACTATTTTAATTTTCAACAGAGCACAAACATGTATTAAAATAGTATGATATGCAGCCTTTGTATTAATGACTACTTTAATTACCTTATTTTTATATAATCCGGTATGCCAATAGATGAAACTAAAAACCAATAGCAAATGCAATATCAGTTGGATCCAAAGCACTTGCTCAGAGTAGCCAAGAAGAGATACTGCCAGAAACAGATGTTAATGAGAAATCCAACAAAGAGATGCAAACACCAGAATATGTTACTGATGAAGAGTTAGAAATAAACACCACAAATTACACTGGGAAACAAGAAGAGGTTCCAAAGTCTCATCCCAGAGAGAAAGAAAGGATTGAGGATAAATTCAATCAAGCAGAAGAAGTTAAAGGAATTTCAGAAGCAGCAGAAACGCCGGAGGAAGAAGTCCAGACAAGATCATCCACTCCTGCCTCAGTTCAAGGTGATACTAATCAAATATTGCAGAAGAAAACACTACAAGCTGATGAATCAGAAGTAATTGACAATGCCACTATTGTTCAGGTTAGGAATTAGTGAAGTAAACAAGTAAATATTTACATATGGATCAGTTAGTTGTGAACAAACACAAAATCATTTATTATTCTAACTTGTTATACAAAATTTATACTTATATTGTATGTATTCAACTAGGAAACTGAAGTATCTGAAACCAAAGACAATGCCGAAAGAGCAATAGAGAATTTAGGCAACGACACAAGTGAAATCAGAGAAGGAAAAGATGTCAACCAATTGAACAATTTGGAGATGCCAAAGTCAGAAACTGAAGGTAACTAAGATTTTAAACTTTAGAATGGAATTTGACTCAAAAACCTAAACCAAGAAAAACACAGCATTCATTCATGCCACAAAAAATTAGTGTCTGTAGATGACAATAGTTTTAGACACTACTATGGGATGAAAGCATCCACAGTAAGTTTTTGCACCAATATGAGAGTCTTTTGTGGCATGGGACTATTTAAATTTTTATGAGAACTTATAATGTATTAAAATAGAAAGATATGCAGCTTTTGTGTAAATTATTGCTTTCAATATATCATTTTCAAAATATGTGTGCAAAAGTTCAAGCTTTGCAACCAATAGCCTATGCAGGCAGCATCAAAACTGAAGGAGTTGATATGACTAGTCAACAAAAGATACAGCCAAACGCATGTTATAGAGAAATTTAACAAGGAGGTGCAAGCATAAAAAGTGTTACTAAGGAAACTGTAGAGATAAACAGTAATTTACTTGAGGACAAGAAGAGGTTCCAACATCTCTGGCCAGAGAGAAATAAGGTGTTAAAAGTGATAAAAGTATATGGAAGAGATGTAAAACAATGTGTGTGGAATACACGATACAGACAATCTAATAAAAGTTGATGATCATAAATACATGAGATGATATGGCTATAAATATATTCTAATAAATCTGATCATGACAGATAATCCTATAAATTATAAAGATCCATAATAAATACGGTAATAAATCGAAATATAAAAGAATAATAAATCCTAAGAGATTATCCAAGATACTCGTAATATTCTATGATAATATCTTCAGATATTTGTTATATTTCTAACAGAAGGGATTCAAGATGAAAGAAAATTCAATCAAAAGGAAGAAGAAGAAAGTATTGAAGAAGTAACAAAAATGCAAATACCACAGGAAGAAGTCCAGACAACAGAACCCACTCCTGCCTTTGTCAAAGGTGATGCTGATAAAAATCTGCAGCAAAAAGCATTGCATGTCAATGAATCAAATGTGATTGCTAATGCCAAGCAAAGCTGCATACCAGAATTTGAAGTTGATAGAAATTCCACTGTTGTTCAGGTTAGGCATTATTGAAGTAAACAAGTAAAAATTTACATATGTATCAGCTTGCTGTAAACAAACAAAAATCATTTAGTTTTTGTAACCTATTACACAATTTTTTTACTTATATTCTATGATTCAACCAGGAACCTAAAGTATCAGAAACCAGGGATAATGTCGACAGAGTAACAGAGAATTTAGACAAGGAAGCAACTGAAATCAGATCAAAGGAAGAAATAGATGGGAAACAATGGACTGATTTAGAGATGCCAAAGCCAGAAACTGAAGGTCACTTTTTGAAACTGTAGAAAAATATCTGGTTCAAAAACCTAATCCAAGAAACAAAGAGTAAATCATGCTAGGAAAATAACAATAAATGTGACGTTTGATGAAAGAATTTATTCAAACCAAATAAAAACTAAAAAACTTAGTTTAGATGAAACATAATTTACTCACTACTATTAGTTTGCAAGAGAATATCTATATGTCTTAAATTGTAACATATGGATAATGCAACCTTTGTGTAAATGATTGTTTTCAATAACTTAGTTTCACAACTACAGGTTTGCCAAAAGATGACGCTCTGAAACAGATAACCAATGCAGTATTGGTCGGAACTGATGCAGTTGAGGAGAGCAATCAACAAGACATCAAGCTAGAAGCAGATCTTACAGACAAATCTAACAAAGAAGTGCAAACACCAGAATGCGTGATTGAGGAAAATGTAGGAATAAACAACACTAATTATGTTGGGGAAACAGACAATAATCCAACACATCATGTTGAAGAGAAAGACGGGATTAAGGATATACACAATCAAGAGGAAAAGGAAAACTTAATTGAAGAAGCAACAAAAACACAGTCAATGGAGGAAGAAGTCCAGACAAGATCACACACTCCTTCCATGATCCAGGGTGATACTAATCACATTCTGCATCAAGAAACATTGCACGTTGATGAATCAGATGTGATTGATAATGCCAAGCTGAGATGCATACCAGAAATTGAACTTGATGGAAACGTCATTGCTGTTCAGGTTAGGCATTACTTAGTAGACAAGTAAAATTTTACATATATATTTCCTTGCTATGAACAAAAAAAAAATCATTTATTTTTGTAACTTGTGACAAAAATTTTGAACTTATATAATATATATTCAACCAGAACACTGATGTATCTGAACCAAAGGACATTGTCGGGAGAATATCAGAGAATTTACACAAGAAGGATGCAACTGAAATCAGAGCAAAGGAAGAAATAGATCTTACAGACAAATCTAACAAAGAAATGCAAACACCAGAATGCATTATTGAGGAAAATGTAGAAATAAACAACACTAATTATGCTGAGGAAAAGGACAATAATCCAACACATTATGCTGAAGAGAAAGAAGGGGTTAAGGATATACTCAATCAAGAGGAAAAGGCAAAATTAATTGAAGAAGCAACAAAAACACAATCAATGGAGGAAGAAGTCCAGACAAAATCACACACTCCTGCCTTTATCCAGGGTGATACTAATCAAATTCTACATCAAGAAACATTGCATGTTGATGAATCAGATGTGATTGATAATGCCAAGCTGAGATGCATACCAGAAATTGAAACTGATGGAAAGGCCCTTGCTGTTCAGGTAAGACATTAGTCAAGTAGACAAGTAAAATTTTACATATATATTAACTTGTTACAGAAATTTTGAACTGATATTGTATATATTCAACCAGGACCTTGATGTATCTGAACCAAAGGACAATATCGGCAGAATATCAGAGAATTCACATAAGAAGGATGCAACTGTAATCAGAGCAAAGGAAGAAATAGATATTACAAACAAATCTAACAAAGAAGTGCAAACTCCAGAATGCATTATCAAGGAAAATGTAGAAATAAACAACACTGATTATGACGAGGAAAATGTAGAAATAAACAACACTGATTATGCTGAGGAAAAGGACAATAATCCAACACATCATGCTGAAGAGAGAGAAGGGATTACGGATATACTCAATCAAGAGGAAAAGGAAAAATTAATTGAAGAAGCAACAAAAACACAGTCAATGGAGGAAGAAGTCCAGACAAGATCACACACTCCTGCCTTTACCCAGGGTGATACTAATCAAATTCTGCATCAAGAAACATTGCATGTTGATGAATCAGATGTGATTGATAATGCCAAGCTGAGATGCATACCAGAAATTGAACTTGATGGAAAGGCCATTGCTGTTCAGGTTAGGCAATAGTCAAGTAGACAAGTAAATTTATATATATATATATGTATATATATATATATATATATATATATATTATAATTTTAATATTAATTTATTTCTCTAAAATAATTGTAGTGGGATAACAAAGTCTTTTACTTATATATATATATATATATATATATATATATATATATATATATATATATATATTCCTTGTTGTGAACAAACAAAAATCATTTATTTTTGTAACTTATTACGGAAATTTTAAACTTATATTGTATATATTCAACCAGGACACTGACGTATCTAAACCAAAGGACAATGTCGGCAGAATATCAGAGAATTTACACAAGAAGGATGCAAATGAAATCAGAGCAAAGGAAGAAATAGATCCCATACATTTGACTGATTTGGAGATGCCAAAGTCAGAAACCAACGGTAATAACCTAAAATTTGGAAACAAATTTGACTAGAAAATCTAACCCAAGACACAATCAAAAAGTGTATATTCATGTCAGGAAAATAAAAGTAAACATGAGACTATTGAGGAAAGAAAAATTATTCAAACCACATAAAATTTGAAAAGACTAGTGTCGTTAGATGACAGATAACTTTACTCACTGCTTTATGTAAATGATAGCATATGTAAAGTAATTATTTGGGCTAACAAGGGAGGTTTTTGTGGAACTGCGACTGTATTAGTTTTCAAGAGAACATTTATATGTACTGAAATTGTAAGATATACAGGCTTTGTGTAAATGATTGCTTCCAATATCTCATTTTTATAAAAACAGGTGTGCCAGAAGATAAAGCTATGCAACCAATAGACAACACAGTATTGGTCAGAACTGAACCAATTGAGGAGAGTAGTAAACAAGAGATACAGCCAGAAACCGATGTTACAGATAAATCTAACAGAGGGGTGCTAATACAGAAATTCGTGACCAAGGAGACTGCAGAAAGAAATATCAATAATTATACTGAGGAACAAGAAAAGGTTCAAACATCTCACGCCGGAAAGAAAGAAGGAACTGAAGACGATGGAAAATTAGATGAAAAAGAATTAAAAGGGATTGAAGAAAATACCAATACTCAGTTCCTAGAGGAAGAATTTCAGACAAGATCGCCCATTCCTGTCTTTGTCCAAGGTGATACTAGTGAAATTTTGCAGCAAGAAACAGTGCATATTGATGAAATAGAAGTTCTTCATAATACCCAGCAAAGCTGCATACCAGAAAATGAACTTGATGGAAAGTCCACTGCTATTCAGGTTAGCCATTACTGAAGTAAACATTTTAAACTTTACCTGTATATCACTTATTTTCCAAACTTGTTAAGCAAATATTATACTTATATTACACTGCATATATTCAACCAGGAAACAAACAATCCAGAAACCAAGGACAATGTCAGCACAGGAGCAGAGAATCTAGGTAACAAGGATGCAATTGAATCTAGGGAAGAGGAAGGAACATATGTCAAACAATTAACTGATGAGGAGATACCAAAGTCAGAAACTAAAGGTAATTAAGTGTTGAGGTTTTAGAAGCAATATGACACAAAAACCTAAACAAAGAAAAACACAGCTTATATTCATGCCAGGAAAATAAAAATATAATTCTCAAATTTGGTAGGAATAATATTATACTTTATTGTATAGTTATGAGGTCACTGGACCTATAAATACATGAGGATGAGTCTGCTGGTTATTTTAGGAAATGTGTACAGCTAATTCTAAGGAGACAAATCCTTGTGAGTACGAGATTGTTTCTAAATACGCAATCCTAATATTAGTTAGCAAGATAAGACTGTAATAAAGAATAAAATAATGGCAAGGATAAAATATAAAACTTCCTAAAATAAACAATGAGTAACACAGTTTTGACAATAACCATAACTTCAGATGAAAGAAAAAACTATTTAGTTCACATAAAAATTAGAAAACAAGCATCTCTAGATGACAATCAGTTTCACACACTATTATAATAGTGATATATATATATATATATATATATATATATATATATATATAACATAGCAATTCTTTAGAAAAATACTAGAGCTTTTCATGGGGCACTGAACTATAGTAGTTTTTGAAAGAACATATCCGTGTCTTACAAGAGTACGATATCCAGCCTTTGTATGAATGATTGCTTTCAATAACACATGTTTATAATAACAGGTGTTCCAAAAGATGAAGCTCTGCAACCAATCACAAATGTAGCATCAGTCAGAACCGACACAGATGATGAGGATGGTCAACAAGAGATACAACCAGAAGCAGATGTTACAGAACCAATAGAAATAAACACCACATGTTATACTGAGGAACAAGAAAAAGTTCCTTCATCTCATGCCAAAGACAAAGGGATTAAGGATAAGTTCAATCAAGAGGAAGAAGCAAAAAGAATTGAAGAAGCCACAAAAATACAATCACGGGAGGAAGAAGTCCAGACAAGATCGCCCACTCCTACATTTGTCCAAGGTGATCAAAATCAAGTTCCATATCAAGAAACATTGCCCGTTGATGGAAAAGAAGTAATTAATAACCTCAAACAGAGCTGCATAGTAGAAATTGAACTCAATGGACATTCCACAGTTGTTAAGGTTAGGCATCAGAGAATGAAACAAGTAAATTTTTACTTATATAGCTTATTGTAATGACACAAATCATTTATTTTCCTAACCTGTTACATATATTCTATAAAATCATCCAGGATACTGAAACTAAGGACAGTGACAACATAATAACAAAGAATTTTGACTACAAGGAGGCAAATGAGATCAGAGCAGATGAAGGAGAATATGACAAGCACGAAGTGGAGAGACCAAAGCCAATTACAGAAGGTTATCAGGCTTTTAGAAATTTTAGAATAGAATTTGTCTCGAAAACCTAAATCAAGAAACAAATGCAGTGCATATATCCATGGAAAGGAAATAAATGAAGAAAATATATTTAATCCACATAAAAATTAGTCTCTTAGATGGCACAAACAACTTTAAGATATCAATTTTTTGGCCCAATATGGAATATTTTGGTGATACTGGGACTATTTTAATTTTCAAGAGAACTTATACATGTATTTAAATAGTAAGATAGCAGCCTTCATGTTAATGATTGCTTTCAATATCTATTTTTATAATAACAGACATACCAGAAGACGAAGTTCCACAACCAATAGCCAATGCAGTATTGGTTGGAACTGAGACACTTGACGACAGTAATCAACAACAGATACAACTCGAAGAAGACAGCAAGGAGAAAAAATCTAGTAAAGAGGAACAAACACAACAATATGTTGCTGAGGAGACTACAGAAATAAACACCAATAGTTATCCTGATGAACTAGACGAGGTTCAAACATCTCATGCTGAAGTAGAAGAAGGGATTGAGGATAATGAAAATTTTGATCAAGAGGGCGAAGAAAAAGGCATTGAAGAAACAACCAATATGCAGTTTCCAGAGGAAGAAGTCACTGATCAAATTTTGCAGCAAGAACTACAGCACATTGATGAATTAGAAGTTATTGATTATGTCAAGCAAAGCTGCATACCAGAAATTGAACTTGACAGAAAGTACACTATTATTCAGGTTAGGCATTACTGATGTAAACAAAGTAAAAAGCTTTCATATATAACATCTTTGAACAAACCAAAAATAATTTATTTTCCTAAATTGATAAAAAAAATGTTATACTTATATTTCATATATTAAAATAGGAATCTGAAAAGCTTGAGACCAACAATGCCGGCATAGTAACCAAGAATTTAGACACCAACGATGCAAGCAAAATCAGAGAAGAGGAAAGAACAGATGCCAAAAAATTGACTGATTTTAAGATGCCACAGTCAGAATTTGAAGGTAACTATGTTTTGAATTTTAGAATCAAATTTGACTAGAAAACCTAAACCAAGATACAAACACCAATAATATATTCACGAAAATAAATAAAAATAATATCTACATGTCTTAAATAATAACATGTACATGGTAAATCTTTGGGAAAATACGGGACCTTTTTAGGGCACTGTGACTATATTAGTTTTCTAGAGAACATCTACATGTCTTAAATAGTAACATGTGCAGCCTTTTGTGAAAATGGATTGCTTTCAATAACTCAGTTTCATAACTAAAGGTGTGTCAAAAGATGAAGCTCTGAAACCAAGAGCCAATGCAGTATTTGAAGCAGTTGAGAAGGGCAGTCAACAAGACAAACGACCAGAAGCAGATATTTCAGAAAAATCTAACAAAGAAGTGCAAACACAAGAATATGTTACTAAAGAAAATGTAAAAATAAACATCACTAGTCATGCAAAGGAAAAGGACAAACATCCAACATCTCATGCCAAAGAGAAAGAGGGGATTAAGGATATATTCAATCAAGAGGAAAAGGCAATAGTAATTGAAGAAGCAACAAAAACACAGTCAGCAGAGGAAGAAGTCCAGATAAGATCACCCACTCCTGCCTTTGTCCAAGGTGATACTAATCAAGTTCTACAACAAGAGACATTGCACGTTGATGAATCAGAAGTGATCGATAATGCCAAGCTGAGCTGCATCCCAGAAATTGAATATGATGAAATGGCAATTGTTGTTCAGGTTAGGCATTAGTGAAGTAAAAAAATGTAAAAATTTACATACATATTTGCTTTCTGTGAACAAACAAAAATCATTTATTTTGTAACCTGTTTCACAAATTTTATTCATATATTTGTGTATATTCACCAGAAAACTGAAAAACTTGAAACCAAGGACAATTTTGACAGAGTAACAGAGAATTTAAACAACGAGGATGAAAGTCAAAACAGAGCAGAGGAAGGAATAGATGCCAACCAATTGACTGATTTGGAGATGCCAAAGTCAAAAATGGAAGGTAATTTGTGTTCAGAAATTTTAGAATCGAATTTGACTTGAAAATCTAAAACAAGAAATAAACAGTGTATATTCAAGGAAGGAAAATGAAAATAAACACGACTCTGGATGAAACTAAACCTCTTTAATCCACATAAGAATTAAAAAAATGATCTCATGAGATGACAAAAGGTTTTACGCACTACTATATGTGGATGATAACATAAACATAGTACTTTTGGGGCCAATATGGGAGTGTATTTTGGCCCTGCGACAAAATTATTGTATTAAGTAATATATGCCACCATTGTGGAAATAAATGCTTTCAATATCTCTTTCTGTATGATAACAGGAGTGCCTGAAGATGAGTCTCTCCAACCAATATCCAACACAGTATCGGTTGAAAACGAAGCAGTTATTGTGAGTCAAGAGAGACAGGCACAAGAAGAATTTACTGAGAACTTGAACAAAGAGGTGCAGACACCACAATATTTTACTGAGGAGATGGCAAAAGTAGAGACCATGAATGACACTGAGGAACAAGAAGAGGTCCCAGCATCTCATCCTAAGGAGAAATTAGGAATCGAAAATGATGGCAAATTTGAACAAGAAAAAGAAAAAGGGATTGAAGAAGCAACAAAAACACAGTTACAAGAGGAAGACGTCAAGACAACATTTCCCACTCCTAACTTGGTCCAAGGTGATTCTGATCAATTGAAGAGTTGCACGTATGAACTTGATGGAAAATCCACTATTGTTGAGGTTAGGCAGTAGAGAAGTAAACAGCTAAAACTTGACATATTTATCAACTTGCTTTGAACAAAATTATTCTTATATTCTCTACATTAAACCAGGAACCTGAAACCGAAGACAATGTCAACATAGTAAAACAAGAACAAGTGAACAACCAATCAGAAAAATCAAGCATTCAGAGAGACAATACAAATAATATAACAGCAGAAGGACTTGTCACATCAGAAACCAACAGAAAATCAAGTGATGATGTCCACACTCATGAACAGGAGACAGTAGAATCATGCTCAGGAGAGAATTTACAAAACAAAAATGCAATCAGAGTAGAGCAAGCAACAGAGGCCAAACAATCAACTTATGTGGAAATACTAGAGTCAGAAACTCAAGGTAATTATCATGTTTAAAATATTTTGAATTAAAATACACTCAAAAACCTACTACACCGAAAAACAATTGGTGCCTTTAGATGACAAACGACTTTATTCAGTTTCTATGAAGGGATGATAAATATATACCAAATAATTTTGTGGCCTACTAAAACAACTTCTTGTGGCATTGGAACTATTTTAATTTCAAGATAACATATAGACGTATTAAATTAGTAAGATACTAAATCTTGTGCAAATGATTGATTTAAATATATCATTTTCATACCAATAGGTGAGCCTGAAGATAAAGCCTGGCATACAATATCCAAAGCATCATCAATTGGAAGTGAAGGACTTGATGAGAGTAGTCGAAAAGAGAGACAAATAGAAGCAGAATTTACAGAGAACTTTAACAAAGATGTGCAGACACCACAATGCGATACAAATGTGACTGCAGAAATAAACATTACCAATGATACTGACAAACAACAAGAGGTTCCAGCATCTCATGCCTCGGAGAAACAAGGGATTCAGGATGATGGCAAATTCGATCAAGGAGTAGCAAAGGGAATTGAAGAAACAATAGAAACACAGTTACCAGAGGTAGAAATCCAAAACACCTGGCCCACTCCAACAACTGTCCAAGGTGATATTGATCAAATGTCACAACAACAAACAGTGCATGATGATGAAACAGAAGCAATTGATAATGCGAAGACCTGCATGACAGAAATTGAACTTGACAGAAAATCCATTGTTATTAAGGTTAGGCAGTAGTGAAGTAAACAATTAAAATGTTACATATGTATCAGCTTGCTATGAACAAAAAATATAATTTATTTTCTTAACTTGTTATACAAGTATGCTTATATTGTAAATAATCAATAGGAACCTAAACTTCTGGAAACCAAGGCCAATGTCGACTTAGTGAAAGAAGAGCAAGCAGACCATCAACCAGAAGAATCAACTGGGCAAAGTTTCATTACAAATTATATAATAGTTGAAAGATATATGACATCAGAATGCAACACAGAATCAAGTGATGATGTTGACCTCAATGAACAGAAGAGAGTGGAATCAAACTCAGTGGGGGTTTTAGAGAATAAGGATGCCATTGAAATCAGAGCAAAAGGAACACATTCCAAGCAATTGACCGATGTGGAGTTACAAAAATCAGAAACCGAAGGTAATTATCTTTTGAAATTTTAGAATTGAATTTCACCTGATAACAGAAAACAAGAAACAATACAATGCATAACAAAACACAACTTCAGATGAATGAAGGAAATTTTCTCTAATCCACATTAAAAGAAAATATGGTCTTTAGATGACAAACATTTTTTTTCACTTCTATAAGTAATTTAAATAATAATTTTGTGACACTATAAAGCATCTTGTTGTCACATTGGGACAATTCTCATTTTTAATTGAATTATGGTAACATACGCAGCCTTGATGGAAATTGAAGCATATAATGATTATTACTCTTCCAAGTAGCTTTGCTATTGTGTTTTGTTAAGTTCAATGTAACCATGAAGTAGTGACCTTATAGTTGTTCTCTTCAAAATAGTAGTAATCTTTTACCTTTATAATCATTACCATCATTATTTGAGAACCGAAAATAAAAGTTGCAAAGAGGAACAAAAAACACAGAAAATATGAGAGCTATTGCTCTCCATCCATGATAAACAATACTCCAATTGTCCTCTCTCTCTCTCTCTCCCTCTCCCTCCTCACACTACCCAATATAACAGAAAACCCATCCAACTAATTGGCCCCACCTGCTATGCACACACCACTCTCCTTAGCCCTTCATTCCCTCACTCTCCTATTCCTCCTTCATACACTCTCCAAATAGTGGGCCTGTTAGCAATACTAGTCTCAGGGCCTAAAGGTTTATTTGGGCTGCTAACAGTTATAAAAAGATGAATAGTTGACTGTTAAACTCACCCAAACATATTAAAAAAAATCTGTTTCTCTCTTCACATAAAATGATTTATTTCAATATCTCATATTTATAACAATAGGTGTGGCTGAAGATAAAGCATTGCCACCAATGTCCAGCGCAACATCGGTTAATATATGCTGTCAAGAAGAGATGCAACAAGAAGAATATGCAGAGACACATACCAAAGAAGTGAAGACACCATACTATGAAGTTGATGTGCAAAAGCAGATTCCAGAGGTTTGAGCAATATAACAATAAATGTAGAAAAATAAAAACTTTCACTTTCACACTAGTACAACTATTTGTCCACTCACACAAAATATATTATTTATTTTCATGAATCAAACATCTTCAACCTCTGACATAGTATATTTTGAAACTGGCATATGGGTATAGGAAGATACATGTCAGCTCAGTGCGGAAAATGAACAGATATTAAAATCCCAGCCTGCATTATCGAACAAGGAGACTGCATTCATAGATAATCTGTATTCAGATGAAGAGTTAGCAGAAACAAACCCCATTAATGATATAGAGGAAGAAGTGAATCCAAAGTCTCACACCAAGGAGAAATTGGTGATCCAGGATGATAGTAAACTCAATGAAGAGGAAGCAAAAGGGATTGAAGAAACAAAAATACAATTACTTAATACGGCAGCAGAAAGTATGTGCTCAAAACTCATATCTTTTCATTATTTTTTAATCAGATTCATTTTGCCTCAGTAGAATGGCACAACATGACAGTTGAAATGTTATCTTTTCCAGACATGTAGAAACACTAAAAAATGAATTTTTTTATCTGTTAAAGAATCTCACATGAATGATGATAGGTCATCCAGAGGAAGAAATCCAGCTAAAATTGCCTGCTCCTCCAACTGTCCAGGGTGACATTGATAAAATCTTACAGCAACAAACACTTGAGGATGATGCATCAAACACAGTTCATAAGGACATGAGATGCATACCAGAAAATGAACTTGAAAGAATGTTCACTGTTGTTCAGGTTGATAAAATATCCATTCGCTGAGAAAAAAAAAATCATTTATTTTCTAAACTTATTATATAAACTTATATTGTGTATACTCAAATAGGATTCTGAAAGCAAGACCAATGTTGACATAGTCGAAGAAGAACAATCACAAGGATCTAGCATGCAGAGTCTGATTACAAACAATATAACAGAAGAAGGACATTTAGAATCAGAAAGCAATTCAAAACTAAGTTATGATATCAATGAACAGATGACAGTAAACTTGCAGTCGGTAGAGGAAGTAAGAGATGCCAAACAACAACCTGGTGGGGAGATAGAAAAAGCAAAAAATGAAGGTAATTATGTTTTGAAATTTTACCATACAATTTGACTTGATAACCAAAAATAAGAACCTGAAAAGTAAAAGAAAACATGTCTTTAGATGAAGGAAATATTCTTTAATCCACATAAAAAAATAGTTTCCTTAGATGACACAAAAAGAATTACTAACTTTGGTGTGTGGATGATAAAATATAAGGTAGTTTTGCCCATAAAGCAGCTTGTTATGGGAGTAGGACTTTTTCAATTTTCAAGAGAGCATGAGCATTGTTGTATTAAGATAGTAACATTTGTAGCCTTGTGTAAATTACCACTTTCAATATCTCTCATTTGTACACGAATAGGTTTGATTGACTTTAAAGCCCTGCAAACGTTAACCAATGCAGCATTGGTAAAAAATTATACACTTGATGAGAGTAATCAAGATGAGATGCAACCAGAAGAAGAATTACCAGCAACATATACCAAAGACAGGAAGACACCACAATCTAGCATGGAGAAAGTAATTGCAAAGCATATAAATTCAGAAGGAATGGTAATAACTGAAAACAGTACAAAGTCAAGTTATGATGAGGAAGAACGAGAACAAGTTATACACTCACACACTACAGAAAATTCAAAAATCATGGATGGTAGAAAAATCATGCTAGAAGAAGCATCTGATATAAAAGAAGCCACAGGTATGGAGTTACATCAGCCTAAAATAGAAAGTAATTAAGTTCTGGTAACTTTCTATTTTATTTTTACCCAATTTCATGTCTTCCAATAAACAAATATTAAAGTTAAGTTTCTCCAAAAATAAATTATCCTACTTGACATTCTGGATCATTTAAAACCTGAATTCTTCACAAAAGTCTAGCTTCTCAAACTAGTGTTCTGAAGAAAGGAAGTACATGAGCTAGGACTACAAGGAATACAGGATGTACACAGCCATTGTTTGGACACATAAAGCAGCTCTTTTCAGTAGTGGAAGTTTTTTAGTTTTGAGGAAAACATATAAATGTAGTAAAACTGAACTGTAGTAGCCAATCTTGGGTGGAAGATTGTGTTTAACATTTTATTTGTACAATGACAGATGTACCTGTGGATAAAGACATCTCAATTTTATCTACCATACCATCTGTAAGAATTGGGATAGTTGACGAAAGCATTCATGAAAAAATACAAAAGGAAGTTCAACCAGCAGTTATCAATACCAAAGAGGAGCAGAAACCAGAAAATGATTTTCTGCGGAATATGGAAGTTCTCGAGGTTTGACTTCACCACAACAAATTAAACTAGATACTGATATATTCCACATTGCATTTCACATTTGCACATCTTAATTTAATGTCTGTGTAGAAAACCAAATATTTTCCCAACGTACAATAATATTTTTGAGTTCTGATGCCCTTTTATGTTAAATTAGGCATTTGATTTAGACAAAGTGCCAGGCAAAACCTATGTGGAAAATGAAGAGAAAGTCCAAGTCCAATCTGAATCAAATAGCCATGAGACCATTAAAAAGCATCCAAAATTAGAAGAACTGGGGAGTGCAGACATAAGTCAAAGTAGTGATACTAAAGAACTTATAAAGGAAAGTGAAGTTGCCAAAATTGGAGTTGTCTCTGAATCAGTATCTGTAGATCTCACAGAGCATATATACACAGGAAAACTAGAAACTGAAGAGGCCGAAATTGCTCGATTAGGCAACATAAAAGAAGATGAAGCAGGAGACGAATTCGAAAAAATAAGTCCGTCATCTAGTGTTGGTGTCATATCCAGAGACTCCCAAGACAGTGCCACTAAAGTTTTGCACAAAAAATCTAACAGCATCCTATCAGGTGTAGGATCAAAGGTGAAGCACTCAATTTCCAAAGTGAAGAAAGTCATTACGGGCAAATCTTCACACCCCAAGACACCATCATCATCAAAATAAACAAATAAGCGACTCATCAGAGGGTAGTACGCTGCTATTGTAAATAGAATATACAAATGTTTGGGAATTTTAGAGGGCTTGTTTCTTATGTTGAGGAATTGGATTGATTGGTTTGATTGATGTATAGTTTGGTTTGTTATTGGTTTTGAAATTTGATCTTAAAGGAGATTTATTATCCTCCTAACTCAGTGTGATGTAATCATATTGTCTTTGTATTAATGAATTTAGAATTTATTTAAAAATATAAGGTGATTGAGAACATAGGGAAAGGCTAAAGTAGTTTTTAGTAACAACTGTTTGAAGAGAAGAAAAATGAGAAAGCCATTGCCAAAGGATAACTGAAATGGATCATTAGGCATTAAAAATACATCGAAAGAACAACGAGAAGTGACGAAGTTCCAGTTCTGAACTACGTTTTTTCTGCAGAGCAAAACGGAAAAGTGAGAAAATCTTTCGATTGATGGAATGAAGAACATACCTCACTCAAACACCACCTGTACTTTTCAGCGAATCAATGGTGGGTCAGGAAATAGAAGGGTGGGTGTTGGTTCGTTCTTTTTTTTTTTGTTCATCTTTTATAAGAACATGTCCCGATGGAATTGTTACCGATGGCGACTTAAAAATTAAAATAAATATTTTATTATAAATTTTAAATTTGAGTTACATGAAAATAAAGAAAATGGTTTAAAATTAGAAAAAAATTATTTATAAAAGTAATTTTCAAGTATCTTATAAGTGGACCAATAGACATCATAACGAATTAGGTGGATAAGTTTCTGATCCTGTTTCAGACTTTTTTAATTGTATTTACCTCTAGATTAAAAATTAAGTTTTTATCTCCATTTAAGTTGGATTTCGGGTTTCTTCGTCCCTATTTAGTTCCCAATATATATTATTTTTAAAAACTAATTATATTTATAATAAAATATAGGTTTGTTATAACTCATTCATTTTTCTTGATAATACAATCTAGATTTTCCCCTATTTATTACATGTTCTTCATGTTTTGAATTGTTTGATCCATTTAGGTGACAAAAAATCCTTCAATCAAAATGGTATCATTGTTGCGAAAAAATTGGTGTTATTTTAAATCTTAGAATCAATTGAAAAAGAGTTCATATACATAATTTTCATTGTTTCTTGTTATTTTTCTTTTTCTAATTTTAATGAAGAATTGTTTCCCAACATCTAGAGTTACTTCCATCATAAAGAAATTTGTAACATAAGACAATTAGATGAAAAAAGTTTATTTAAATATTGGGAACTATTTAAAAGACTATGTATACGTTGATTATGCCTCAAATTAAGGAATAACTCTTAATTTAAAAAAAAAAAGTTATGAATGATTATTTATATATAGGGTATGATTGATGTTGCAAGTGGTGGAACTCCTATAATGGCAAAATAATTTATTGAATCCATGACCACAAATTTACAACAATTCTATGAAGAACATTTTTTAGATACAAATTGACTATTCAATGGAGCACTAGATACTAAAAAACAACATTATAATCTTGTTCCAATGGTTAAGAAATTAGCATAATCACAAGTACAAACACACTCTGAACCACAAATCATATCACAACAAATTTTTCTTTTGGTTGAACAATGTGTAAGATTTGCATTTCATCTACACATACTACGTATGAATGTTCATTTTTACAAAACATATCAAACCAAGATCTCCAAGTCTTTATTAATGCACAATTTCATAAATTTCCCCCATAATATGTTAATTTAAATTCTAACAAATATAGTCCAAATAGTAGAAATTATCCAAATTTTAAGTGGAGAAATCAAGCCAACACTTTATAATAACCTAATTATATCCTTCCTGAGCATAATTATCTACAACAACTACTTCATTGACACCAAAACCTACCTCCACAATTTCTTCAATCTCGTCTATCATATAAAAGTCAAAACAAAAATAAGCACCAACAATTTGAGCATGCTTCACACTATGCACTTCCAACACCCAAAATCAACCATCTTTGGAGGAACTTATGAGATAAATGACTGCAAATAAATTATAATTTCAAAAAAAGGATTGAGACTAATATAAAAGCTCTTGAAACTCAAGTTGAATAGTTAGCAAGTACAAGCAATGAAAACTAATTTAATAACGCTGACTAATTGTCTTCACAAATTGTTATAAATCCTAAAAATGTAAGTTCAATGACATTAAGAACAAATAAGAAGATTGAACGGCCAGTCTTAGTGGAGGACACAACAAAAAGAGAGAGAAAATTAAAAATCATGTGTAAACTGTTGTTATAACTCGATAGACCAATATTGATGTTGATTTATCTATTCCTCAAGAGAAAATACAAATTTCATTCCATCAAACTAAGGTTATGTGCATTCAAAGAAGGGAGAGGAGTTGGGCAAAGAAATAATACAAATTTTCGAAAGATTGAAGTTATCATCCCTTTGCATGAAGTTATTGAACAAATTCTTAAATATGCTTAATTTTTGAAGGATTTGTGTAAAAGGAGTTTGAAAGGGAATGAGAAGGTTGACTTAGGAGGAAATATTTCATCTTTAATAACTACATTATTCAATCAAATTTTAGAAAAAATGCAAGGATCTAGGACTATTTACAATTCCATGTATGATGATAATAAAAGACCGAAAATGTTATGCTTGATTTTGGAGCATCTATTAATATTATGTATGTGAATATTTATTCTTCTTTATCTCTTAATTTTATACATGATGAATCAAATATCAAATAAAATCATAGTATGACTTAATTAATTATGTCTTTGTAAAGATAAACAATTTAATATTTTCAACAAATTTTTATATTGTTAACATGGAAAGGGATTCTTTCCTTAATAGTTCTCCAATTCACATACCAATATTAAAGTACATGTTGATACTTTAATTATGGAATTTGGTGACAATATTGTCAAATTTGACATTTTAGATGTATTTAAACATAGATCATTCCAATTTTTTTTGCATTGATATTGTTGATAGATTGATTGTTGAAATTATTTTCAAACTTATTGAAAACTACACTTTGTTTGAGAAAAAATTTTTTATTGAGAACATTGAGAAAATACCCCTGTAAGACATGTCGCTAAGTGAAAACTAAACTCACTCAACAAAAATGAAGAAATGTTAGATGCTTTTGATAATCAAAGCAAAATAGTTGAATAAAAGTTGAATATGCCCAGTGAAAATCTTTCAGTGGTTCCAATGATGAATGGAGTTGAATAAAAACTGATTTTGCTTAGCGAAAATTATGTAGAAAGCACAAAAACTAAGAAAATTAAAAAAATCTTAGCGAAAGCTAAATTTGCTAAGCAACTAGAACATGAATCACCTAGTCCTATTTACTAGCATTGAGTGAAAGCAGAATTTGTCTAATGCTTCATGAAAATTTGAGAAAAATGCTAAGTGAATATTGAATTTACCCAATGAAAAGCTACAATATTGAATTTTTCGAAAATTCAGAAAGAAATTTAATGCTTGAGTGAAATGTGTTTGCATTCAACAAAAACCCTTAAAAAAAAAGAAAATAGAAAAATTAAAGAAAATAGAAAAATTGAAGAAAATCCAAAAAATAGTTTTCTCCTAAAAGGAAGAAGCGTAAATTAAAACATTCTTCTTTGAATTTAAAGTCACTTTCTTCTAATTTAAAGTATGTATTTTTAACATTCTTGTCCTGTAATTGTATAATTTGTTAAATGATGAACAAAAATATAAATTAATAAATGTAGTTAAAGAAAATAAAAATGTTATAGGTTGGAGATTAGATGATATTTCAAGTATTAGTCATTCATTAGGATTTTATTAGAAGAAAATTCACAACCAATAAGACAATCTCAAAGGAGAGTTAATCCTCATAAGTTATTAATTTTGGCCTTGAAAAATATCTATTACAAAACAAAAAACGAGACTAGAATAAGTTAAATTACCTATACTCGCAAACAAAAATGAACAAGCCTAGCAGCTATAACACAATAATGAGAATGTAGGGATCTCTTCAACTCCTTTGACTCTGAGCTTCATCTATTTTCTTTTTCCGCTGTTTAATGAGATCAGCCTGAGCTTGCTTGCGTTTATTAGATATCTGAATGACAGATTGTCAAAAACAGAAAAAAAAAAAAAAAGGAAGTGAATAAACAGAATTGAAACAGAGTAAGTTCAAACACAATCTGTCACTTTGCAACTGGTTCTAGGTCCTTAAGAAAATAGTTATATTATAATCTTAAGTTGAGACAGAAAATTGGCAAAGTGAACAAAAAAATACACGTGCATAAAGGAGGATAGAAAAAGTTACCCGCATGGCTTCCAATAGCTTTCTCTTTTTACGTGACATCAGAAGTTTACCCATGTCATCATCAACATTTTCTTCAACATTGGTAGCTGATTCTCCAGTCTGCACCGCTCCAGAAGTTTCTTGAGAACCTGCTGAATTGTATGTAACACCTTTAAGTTCCTTTTTCAAATCATCGTGGTATTGCTGCTCCAGAATCATCATCTGCAATGCAATCATTCAAATTTGAAATACTTTAGTGTCACAGTAAGCAAAAAATCATCCCCTCCACTCATGCCACTGTTATGATGCAACCTTTTCTTCTCACATGCGTACCTTTTGCTTTCTTTGGGCAGCATCATTGGCCTCAGCTCGGCCAATAATCCCTTCAACCAAAAGATTTTGAGGATCTTCCAGATCTTCCTTCCCAACACCTGGAAGTGGAAGGACTTCCTTCCTGGCAGCAACTTGCAAGTGTTTAATGGTCTTTGCATAATCTGGAATGTATGCTCCTTCTTCGTCATAGTTAATAAAAGGTGACAAATGCGGGGGAGGAATCCTGTCAACAAAAAGAAACATTGTAGCCATGAAAGGTATATAAATAAAATTGGCTTTCTTTAGTATACATACATCTTTATTTAAATTTAACACATTTGTATGCGTGTAAGGTGTAACAATTTTTCTATACTGTTCCTCTTCAGGTTAATGCATAATTAGTGACAGGGTT